CAGTTGCAGCATTAAGGCCACACTAGGGAATAATTATCTGCAGTGGCCATTGAGCTGAAATGTATTCCAGCTCAAATTCCTCCACTTAATCAGAATTTTGCAGTCTTTGTTCTCACTAGCGGGATGTGCCTCCCAATAAGACCGAATTAGGACTTAGTTAGACTGCCTACTAGTGAATCCTTTCAGATACAAAGTGGAGTAGGTATACTTGCATGCCAAATATCCCTATATAAATCCTAAAAAAAGATTATCTTAACTTATGCAAATACACATCCTACAGTATTTCTAGATTTATTATTTGACTGTTTTATTAAACAGTGTATTAGTAGGTGCCACTAAAATGCATCTCTAGGAGGGATTTGCTTTGATTTAGTGAGCTGCTTTCATTTCCAGTTCCATACTAGCTGTTGAGAATGAGTTGCTGTTTTTTTCATTGAATATCTGGTAATGCTTTTCCTATTCTGTGGCATGGTCTGCACAAACCAGGGTACCTCCTGTGAGAAAAGTGTTTCCCTGTTTTGGAAAGCAGACTAGCAGGATATTGGTTTGGCGTGGGCTGCTCACATTCTTAACTGCCGTGGCTGAAAAAGAGAAACTAGCTCTTCCTACTATCCCTTTTTCCTGATTCGAAACTAAAGTCATAACTAAATCAGCATGTTGATCACAGTAGTCTTTTATCCTTCTATGATCTGTGTATGTGTGTGTGTGTCTTGTGATGTCCTTGTGAAGATAATAGATCACTACAGTTACAAATATACAGCTTGAAAAATAAAATGAGAAACAGTCATTCAATAATTTGATATTCATGTGTCCGGGGGAGAATTCTCAGCTGCAAACACTAGCAAATAGAAATTGCCACACTGGATCAGAACAACAAGTCCAATCTAGCTCAGCGTTCAATTCCTAACAGTCAGTATCTCATGCCTTCAAGACAAAAACATTTGGAAGGCAATTATGAAATAGCTTTCGTGCAAATTTATTCCTAGCTGCCATATTAGAAATCCTTAAAAATTATTTTGTAGACAAACATGTTTATGTGCACATAAATACGTATTAGAATGAGTACTGTTACAAGTTTAATGAGGGTAGGTCCTGCACATCCACAACATGCTGGTGGAAAAACAGAACTTTCTATAGGTAGGGATTTCTATAGGTAGGGACCTTAAAAATCTCTAACTCGTAATAACTGTTTTCCTCTTGAAAAAGGCCAGCATATATTGGTTAGGTTGGTGGAAGACTATTGGATGATCAGTACGGGAAAATAGTGGTAAACTGAATAGTAGTGTTTCTAAAATTCTATAATCTTTGGCTTTAAAGAAGGTGAGTCTTTTAAAGATTAAAGAGCGTGAGCTGATACTTAAAATACTCAATAGGGATTCAGGAGAGCTAATTTCAGTTCTTAGCCCTGTCATGGACCTTCTTTTTGACCATAAGCAGTTCTTCCATCATGTTTTAATTCTATTTTAAATATAAATTAATTTTAATTTATTTGTCAAATACTGTCTTGCTGCCTGGGAATACTGAGAATAAATCAATAATGTTTGTATGGCTTTTTAAGTACTGCTTCAGTACTGGAAGACAGAAGAGTTGAAGGGATACACAGTCTCTCAGGACGCTTCATGTTCCTTATGTCGTTAGACCTTCAGTATTCATTAAATGTTCTCTCTGTCTTGACGTTTTAATGGAGCAGAGAGGAGCTGTTCAGGAGGGTCTAGATCAGTTATACTCTAAGGGGTGGATGGAAAGTGCCTAAGCTCAGCATCTCAGATCTGCTGCTGCATGCAGATATGTATGTAGCATGTTTGTTCAAGAATCTTTTACGTTTGATTTCCAAATATAGAACAAAATGGGAAAGTATTTCGCTGATCGGTGCATACAGTTCAGACTGAACAAATTCATTCATTAGAAGCTCTCTAAGTTTCTAGCCTTTTTTAGAATCCAGCAATACACCAGCTTGGTTTGCAAGTGCATTTTCATTCAGTTATGTTAACTATTATTCTTAGCCTTGCTGGTGCGTGGGAGAGAAGGATTCCGTTTAAGTCTTTTCACTTGCTCTGTCTTTATGACCGTTTCATGTAGTGTGTTTTTGTGCGAGGGAAATTTTATACAATGGATAGTATGAAATGTACTATCTAATTAGAACTGACATGATATTACATACATGTATCTCCTCTGAGATGCACGGCCACTATCTAATATAAGCTGTGGGAGTTTCCACTGTTCTCTCAGAACAGTCATTGACTAAGGCCCTTCTTTCAAAAGCCCTTTTAGCTGGGGACTAAAGGGACTGCAGAAAAATGTTAATATTAGATCTCTCCCAGATAGCTCAAAGCTACTATCCACTGTCCTCATTTCTTTGAGGAACCTGTGTAATCACAAAGATACAAACTGCCCTTAGTATTCTGAGCCAAATTCTTTCATGGTATAAAGGTATTGACTTCACCAAGCTTGGCCCAGGGATGTATTTGGTTTAGAAGTAAAATTCATTCCATAGTAAAAAATTTAAAGGCTAGAAATCTGGTAGGCTGTTCCTCAAAATGCAGATATCATCCATAACAGCTACATCTGATCTTCAGTCTTTGTCACTGTTAGTCAGACAACGAAGAGAAATAGTTCCTGAAACCAAAACTCTTCAGCAGTGAAGAAGCATTGTGCGCCTCTGAGGCGGTCTTTCCCTTCAGTCTTTGCCTTTTCTTTTGCTTTTCTCTGTGGAAGTGTGTTTACAATAATACTTACCTCTCTTTTTAGCCTTCACAACTCCCCTGCCATCATCATTCAATATAATCTTATACTTGCACACTCAGGGAAAAATCGTAGGTTGAATCCTGACCTGAAAACTAAGTGTCATTTGTCTCCATCCTTCAGTTTAAGGACACAGTGACTAGAGCAGAAAAGGTGGGGGGCTGGTTAGTAGGAACGACAGAGCCTGCTGCTGCTAGAAGCCTTACATCGATTGCCTGCCTTTTGGTCTTGTTGATAATTTTTCATAGCACATTAACACTGGCAATAAGTCATTCTTTACTCTCTTCAGGCTATGATTGTGGGTGGTGTTTTTTTTTTT